TTCACTTAATGCGCCTTATAATCCGAAAAATAACTTCTACCTTCCTTTAGTGTGTCCAGAAGTCCAACTTTTTGTGCGATGGTTAGCATCTTCCTCTGTCTTGTGGGTGCTACTGCAGGTGCCTTTGATGGTGCAAAATGTTTCGTCGACATTGTTGTGTTTGTTGGGGAGAAAACTTATAAACATACAGTACAGTCACACTGCTAGCAATCAAAGATTCATGTAAATATGACAAGCTGAATGCATTCTGTACTGTACAGAAGACACGGAACTGAGGAGATTGATTGACAATGGTCTAAAGTTGATCAGGACACAGAGCACAGTGCACTGTGAAAAAGAAGCATGCAAAATTGCACAAAACAAATCTGCAAAATAGCGAGGCCACGAACAGTGATTGTAATTATGCCCTAGAACCAGCTAGCAAGGTTAAAAATAAACATACTGTTCTTAGTACACGCCAGTTCAAGCCTTTGTGTTTTTGGAATTATGTTTCTGATTTATCTTGGCATGCAGAGTCTTTAATAAGCGCTTCCTTAGAATAAGGAAACCACTATTGTACTTTTTGACTGTGTCAATGGAAAATTGTACTGAGTAGTCAGTATAAGCTTTTAGTGATATAAGTTTATTGATGATAGAATGACCTTTTCCTTGTTTAGAACTGATTGTTCTTTATGAATCGTGTTCTGATATTTGTATCTGAATCTTTCTACAGCAATAGTAAGAAGTTAAACAAGCAGTTCTGACCTTGCACACACACACACACATACATACACACACAATCACATACGCACATGCTCATGTCACTGAACGAATGTTTTCATTTCTCTTGTATAAATAAAGAACGCAGACGGTGACAGAGCACAGGTCCGTGAGTGTCTCTTACGTGTAGGAGCGCTCTGTCACTTGTCCTCGCGAGTAAAGACAACTGCAGTGTTTGTGTTTTCTAACTCAAGTGTCTCAGCTGAAGAATTGCGGGGTGATTTTAAGAAATCCCCTCTCAGACTGACACATGAATAATAATCCATAGATGGAAAAAATGTTAAACCTGCACTGACTGAAATTTGTGGTGTATATCAGTTATCATTAAGCAATTAAAAGGTGAGTGGTAAATACTTGACTTTAGAGAGGTGAAGTGCATATCATTCTGTATAAAAGGTGCTAAAACTCACAAAAAACTCCAATAATAATATAAGAAGTGATTGACACACCTTAATAACTTTTACTTATTAGTATTTGTTCTCAAGTCCTCCACTTCTATTAAGTGGCTGTGTCCAAGTTTCGAAGACATTTAGTTTATATTTTTTATATAATACAGTACATGTGTACGAATAACCGGCAATAATTCAGTCACTGAAATTATCCATGAAAACAGCTAAGTAATTCCTTAATGCGTGCAGATTAAAAAAACTTATTTTACTTGGATATGATTGTGTCTGATGAGCCTAAGGTACAAAACATGCCAGCGACGATGATTACGTTTTTCTAGCTCCACAAGAATTAAAAATGTACAAAAAAAAATGGAGCGACATTTCTGGGTCCATTTTAAAGTTTACACGCTGTGGCGATAGCAACCGGAAAAACAGCGACCTGAAGTAAGGGCAGACTTGAACGAAGGGTAGAAGGCTATCCAATTTCACAGCCGCTCACTTCCATCCTAAACGGCCGTCGAAGCCCAAAGCCTGAGAACTGGCTTTGTAACCCTTTCCATACTGACAGATGGCAGTGACTTTGTTTCACAGGTGTTTTTTTAGATAGTGGCATGATGTGTTGCTTTTTGAGATCTTTTAGCCAGCTTCACTTTGTCAGACAAGTCTGTTTCAGTGATTCCTTCATTCAAAAGTTCTGCCAGTATTCAGGGTGTGTTTGATGTGGAAATAAGCTTTCCAAAAACTATGGTTAATGACACTTTCATTATCTGTTGTCAGATAATCAGTGTTGGGTGTAATGCGTTACTAAGTAGCGCGTTACTGTAATTAAATTACTTTTCCACTTAAAAAGTAGAGTAACTAATTACTGTTCATTTTTAGGTATTTTAATTACAGTTACTTACAATGTACTTGTGTTACATTGTAAAATAATTAAACTCGCTGAATATCATTATATAATTTCAATAATTTGTCTTCTAAACCTAGAAGTAAACTCTGCCACTTTAACATCGCTGTAGTGCAGGTGCACATCATTTTGCGCCAGTTTGCTGCATAGTGTCACGGCGAGTGAGAAGAGCCGTGTGGAAAAGGAAAAAGAGGATCCAAACGCAGGCAGTCGTGAAGGTGATTTATTAAACACAAAAATATAGAGAGGCAAACGGCAAAATGGAGAACTAAACTATACTGGGACAACTAAACTACAGAGCATGAACAAGAACACGAACCTGAACATAAAGGAAGGAAGACGATGGTACATGATGATGACGGCAGGGAACACACGGGTGAAACATGGTGGATACACAGACGGACCAGCAACTACAATGACAGAAGACGCGACTTAAATACACACAGAGAAACACAGGGAGATTACACACAGGTGGGGAACACAGCTGGGAGTAATCAACAAGACGAGACAGAGGTAAAACTGAACACACATACACACTCACATGAGACGCAGACCTTCACAATAAAACAGGAAACAAGAACACTACACAAAGACGCAGACTTGACACTGAGAGACAGACAGAAAATGACACATAGAACTAAACCCACACAAAATATGAGAACACAAATAAACAGAAACATGGAACTCTAATAATAATCATCATCATAGCACCAAAAACCACAACAATCATTCAAAAATAAACTAACAATCAAAACTCAAAATACTGGTTCGAAACTGACCCAGAAC